ACATGTCTTATGGAATCATAGTATGTCAGAAAAATTAATTTCTATGATGATAAATATATTAGTCTGAAACACTATATTTACAGGAACAACAGTGAAAATGTGGAAAAAATGTTTATCGCGCTATTACAATACCCAATTCGACAAGTTGCATTATTGTATCTTTATCATGCAGCAAGTAAACGTTATACTGATTGAAAGAATAGAGAAATCAATATGTGAAAACTTCATATTGAATAAATTGAACTGAAAAACTCTTTGAGATACTTGTGTTCGCATCATGTAATATTTGGGGGCTCACAGCCCCGTATAGCAGGACATCGACAGAAAATGAGCTCGTATTCGAATTGAAGAACACACAGTTTTCAGGTCGGAGTGTGGAAATACCTCCTTTTCAGTTGAATACACACTTACCTCATATGATATATTGGCATAAATCTTGGATTATATTGGGTTTCAAGAACAATATAGTAATACATTTCAAATTGAAACATGTGTATTGCGACATGTAAAAGTTCATGTTGAAAATATAATTAGGTGTGAAAAATATGTGTCTTTTTCGCTGTAAAATGGTGTGTTGTGACTGCATGTATTGTTTAGGAGAACTTCCAAACCCCGTTAAGCATGATGTTCGCGAAGAATGAACTCTGTATTCATTTTCATAGTCAAACCACACTCCACCGTCAGATATTGCAATATAGTGTCGCATTTCAAATGATTAGATTGTATTGCAATACGTGAAAGTTTTTGTTAGGCGGGCATATGCATGTGTGAGAAATATCAATCTATTCTACTGCTAAATGGCATGTGTTGACCCTACGCATCTCTTTCGGAAACTTCGCAAATCTCCGTAAAGTGGCAGTGAATAAACTCACGTTGAGTTTCGAACCCAAACCAAACTGCTTTTCAGTTGAAATCATATCAATATCATCTACTATATGGCTTCAGATTTGTAATAAATTATGTTTCGAAAAGGAAAACGGAGTGTGACATTTTTAATTATTACATCGTTTTTAGGCATGCCGAAGTTCATGTAGGGGCATGCATATGTGTGAGAAATATCAGTCTGTTCTCCTGTAAGATGTCAAGTGTTGACACTACATGTCTACAAATTTCCGTCTAGCATGGCATTGGCGGAGAAGTCAAAGTAAAATTTTAATAACCATTTTTGATATATGAATGTTTACAGGCTGATTCACGGTGGATGGCACATGAGACGTTTCTGGTGAACCGAACAACGGATCACTTTGAAAATTTAATGGAGGGCATATTCGGACATTCTCTAGCCAACTAAAATATTTTCGACAATGCGGTGTTGCCGCTTCTATTAGAAAGCAGTAGCAACTTTGATTTTTCAAATGGAACACTCTGTATATAATATTATTTT